GGTTGGTTTCCACAGACGGGGATATCTATCACCTGCGCGCTGAATGAAGAAGAAGCATTGGACGGCCCGGGACGGCTGAAGGAGGGATGGCAGGATGGCTTTCTGGAGAAAGGGAAGTCCCCTATTCCAAGCCCACGACTTCGCTACCGCGTCTTCACCGCGAATCACCTGCCCACATGAGGTCGCCTCCGTAGCAGCGAGGCAACACTCGAGAGGCCTGGAGGTCGGCGCTGCCGTTTGCTTTTTGATTTCTTACCAGATCAGTCACGTTGAGATGAGGGACAAGAGTGTCTCGAAAGAAAATGAAACCAATAACTGGATTATGACTAAAACAGGACCCCTCAACGGCTCTCACCACAGGGGTAGCCCAAATATACCAAGAGGTTTCCACGTGATCCGTCTCGACTGGGGAACAGATGCCACGTTCGGTCAATCGGTCCTCATGGCATTCCATACGATGCGATGCGATGCGACCCGCGCCCCTTGGTGGACGAAGTCGACAAGGCTGGGTGCGCATTGCGGGTGTCGACGACAGGGATCTAGCTCAAGGGATGAGGTCCGAGCTCCCTCTCACCCCTTGTTCGGTTATGGCGACATCAGCCAACCAGCCATCGGCCTTTCAGACGTCTCTGCTTTAGCATCGAAAGCTCCCCGGAGTCTGATCCCAGCTCGGCGCAGGATGTGATCCGAGGGCGATGTACCGCAGTTACATACATGGCTAGCTACCATCACCTGCAGTACTGTACCTTGTGCTGGCTCCCGCATCTTGGTCCACCATGACAGAGTGGCCCACCCTTCCCACACTCCCCCAGCTTGCGCCCGTCTACACTCACCACCCAACCAAGTCCACGGCCGATGGGCCCATGGGCTGGGGCTGCGCGCGCTGTGCCAAATGGGTGGGAGGCCAGCACCAAGCAACCAGGCAAGCAGACAAGCAAGCAAGCTCACAGCTCCCCTCTCGGTCCCCCTCTCGAGTACCCCCTCTACTCCCCCGAGCCCCAGCTTACGGGCTGAGGTCTCCCACCTCGACCCCGTCCCCTCGCCCCCTTCTCTCAGCAGCCTTCTGCGCGTAGCAGCCAACGTCCACGGCTCTCCCTCCTGCCGCCCCAGATCTCCCCCTTTCCCCTACCTTTTCTACCCTTCCCTTCCATCTTCATCGACCCAGGCCCACCCCATTCCTCCTCGTTACCTATCGTAGTAGCCTCCTGAAGCTTGTATAAAAGTCGAAATCTGCTCCTGATTCCAGTCTCAACCATGTCCTCCCGCAAGAGAAAGTCCGATGAGGAGGAGGAGCTTGTCGCGCTCCCCAGCGACGAAAGTGAAGAGGAAGAAGAGTATGTGCTGCCCTGCCTCAATGCCTCGTGTCCAGCTTGTCCCGACCTATACAGACCCATCAAGCGATGGTTGCAATATCCCCATGATCTAGGCTCTGCTCAAGCCTAAGCGCCACACCCTACTAAGCTTTGACCTTGGGCGCAAGACCAAAATCGTGATCGCGTCTGTCCCGCGATGCTCTGAAACGCTGTAGGCAATTGGTTTGGTGTAGCCACGACAGCTGACGATAGAGCAGATACGTCTCAGAGGGAGATGAGGACGAAGAGGATGAGGGTGACGACGATGACGAGGAGTACGACGAGGAAGCCGGCCCTGAGGAGGAGGAGGAGGATGCAGAGAACGGTGTCGAACGTAAGTGGTGTCCACACACGAAGTCCTTTACCTTGATCCTCCTGCAGCAAGATCGAGAGACTTTTAACAAAGACCTGGCTCGAGCTAACAAGAACCAGCAGAGAAAGCGCCTCCCTCCAAGAAGCGGAAGACTGCTGAGACTACCACCGAGCCTGCCACAGTAGACGACGAAGAGGAAGAGCCCGAGGAAGCAGACGAGAATGTCGAAGGCGAGGAAGAGGTTGACGAGGAAGCCAAGCTCGACGAAGAGAATGGCGTCAAGGGCACTGAGGAGTCTATCAAGGCCAAGGTCGGCGGTACTGCCCCAGCTGCTGATGTTAAGGGCGACGACGCTGTACTGGCGGCTGCCGGTGACGACGAGGAGGACTGATTCTTCCTTCTGGTTCCACCTCAATATCTTCACCCGCTTAGATTCTCTCCAAGTTCTTACGCCTCCGTGTCAATGCGAATCAGCCTCAAGATTGCTTCTCTGTCTTCGTTCAAAGTCCTGGGGTGTTAGGTGTATCATCCAGTACACGCACAGTCTAAGCTAATCGGGTGATATCGAAAGAAACGTTCGCTTGCCCATTGGTATAGAACCATCGGCGAGTATCATAACGGCCCATGGGCAGACAAAGGCGAGGCATGCGCGAGCATAAGCGGGGGGGGGCATTTAACTTTAAGAAAAACCAGAGGTACATAAGGTGGAAAGAAGCAGTACAACATGAGATTATATTTCCTTCAGTTCATTCCATTCCAGCCCTACGGGCCCCACAGTGACTATTAAAAATGGGCCTCGTGAACACACGTCTGGCTTCATTCGCCAGCTATCATGGCTCCGGTTGGTGGGCCCAGCCCAATCTACTGCAACTGCTTTATTGCGGCCCGATCATGGCAACATGGGTAGGAGCGCGGCCCACATAATATAGGTCCTATTTGGGATCTCCGCTGTATCGACGCACTAGAGCACGGGCACGGTCTTGCCTGTGAACGTAGCTCTGTAGGCATTGTCTGCAACCATTGGCCTTGGTTGCCAGTCGAGCCAGCCAGCGGACGGGTCCTTTGTGAATGTACCGCCGGATCCCTACACGTTGATGCTACGCTGCTGGAACTCAAGATCACGACATGGCTACGAGCAACGATACGGAGGTTGGAATGTTGACAACGAAAAAAGCAAGAGTCACGTTTGATCTCAACTTGACTCGGAGAGACGATGACATGATATTATGAAAACCTCAGGGTCAAAAATTGACCTCAAGCCCCGTTCGTGGATGGCACCAACGAATTCACGTATACCTCGATGTTGGCGTACCCGGAGCTACTGATCTTCATCGCGTCGCTCGCGTCTTGGTAGTTGAGCCCGTTTGCCTTCTCCCACGCATCCGGGATACCGTCACCGTCCGTGTCCGTCGGCTTAGTCCCGCCCGCGATGTAGCCGGGCCCGTTCATGGGGCTCGCCTTCTCATCGCTGATGAGCTGGCCTGAGGTGCCCCAAGACTGCACCTCCGAGACGAGTCGCTTGTCCACGCCGTCCCGCGAAGGGAAGTTCGCGCCGACGTTGGCCAGCACCCACGTCACGGCGTTGGGCGCCCCCTCCCTGTCAATCAAGTACGTCCATAGTAAGTAGGTAGACGTTAGGCTGGGGAAGATGCGGCTAAGTTTGGGGGCGCTCGGACCTCTTATCAGGTGATCGTAAGGCCAACCTCAGCGCAAGGGAACAGCCAGCCCATCAGACGCGGCGCGATCCTCGGCGCCTTCCCTTGATATCCATTGCAGTCTGCAGTCGCCTATAATACGAATCAGCCAAAGGGCCAACGATTACGCCGCCGCCACCGCCGCCGCCGCCGACTCCGACAACCGCCGACTCGAGCCGAGTGTTGATCAGTCGAATCCGGCGCGAACGGCATGGTTTGCTGCTAGATAGCAGCCAGCAGCCCGGAGGTGCAGGTACCAAAGGGAAAGACCAGGGCACGGCAACATGAGGTCGCAGTCGCCGTGAGACTATGAAATTATGACATATCGAGGTTCACTGCCCGGGCCGGGATATGGCCAGAATGGCAGCCAGCAATGGCCGCGCCAGCAGCAGCACCCGCAGCAACACCAGCAGAACATGCAGGGCATGCAGAACGGCTTTGATGCCTATGGGAACCCGCAGTACCCCTATGCGAACGCGAACGCGAACCCACAGCTGCACCAGTATCAGAATGCCGTCTTCGCGCCCGTCGGGTACTCGCAACAGCCGCAGCACCAGCCAGTCCAGAACAACTACTCGCCGGTTCATGCCGGCCAGTACCACGGCTACGACCCGAGCTTCGACCAAAGGCCCCAGCAACACAGTCCGCACTTCAACGGTGCGTACGGGCAGCAGATGGGGCAGATGCACAGCACGGCGCAACCGCGGCCGCCCCATCATACGGTGCAGCAGCCGGTGCAGCAGCCGAGCAATCAGTACGAGCAACCGCTCCAGCAACACCAGTATCAGCACCCGCACCAGCACCAGCAGCACCAGCACCAGCACCAGCAACACCAGCAGCAACACCAGCAGCAACACCAGCAGCAACACCAGCAGCAACACCAGCAGCAACACCAGCAGCAACACCATGTACAACAACAAACGCATGGTCACTTGTATGACCAGCAGCTACAGCAACAGCAACAGCAACAGCAACGCCCACAACAATCACAACATCAGGCGCCGCAGCAACAACCCATGATGGGCTGGCAGCAAATGCCGCCTCCCACTCATTCACCCATACCTGCCTATCAGACGAGCTCGCCTGTGCCCCAGCAGAGGCCGACACCGCCGATTCAGCACGTTCAACCGCCAAGCCGGCAAAACTCGATCTCGCACCACGCAAATGCGTCACACATAAATTCGCCTGTGACGAACTCGCCCATCATGGCCCAGTCTCCTCAGCTGCCCCATCAATATGCGCCGGCGAAGAGCAGAAGTACGAGCGTGTCAAATACAAGGACAGACCAGGTTGGTCGCGTGTCTGCAAGTCCCCGCTTGACTACCCAGGGCGTGGCAAGGAGCCCCAGCGTGAGCTCTACCAAGTCTCCTGCTCTGCCGTCAGGACGGGTGCCAAATGCCCAAGAAACCAACGCCCTCTTGGTGTGTGTGGCCGAGGAGATGTTTGCCAAGGCGCGGAAAGGTATCCTGCGCGTAGCCGACTCCCTGGACTCTCAGAGCGTCCGTGAGTATCAGAAGTTAATCGCTACTGGGTTGGGTTGTTTGGAGACTGTTCTAAGCAGTAACAAGCTTGTGGCGAGGACCGAGGCCAAGATTCAGCTCCGTTATGCCAGCATACTGTGCGAGGAGACTACGAACATTATGGAAGCGGAGACCGCTTTGATGAAAGGCATTACCCTATGTGACAAGGTAAAGCAGGAGATCGCCACCTTCTACCAATTCTCGCAGCATCGAACTAATATGTTCACAGTATCGATTTGCCGATTTGAAGTATTTGATGCAATTCTTGCAGCTGAGAATGCTGTCGCAGAGAAAGTCAAAGGCAGCCTTGATAGCCGTCGATGGGAGTATAGCAGAAGCCGAGCTGTATGACCCCTCTCTCACCGTACGAATCGAATCTCCTGTGACTAACGAAAGGAACAGGTTGAAACACACACACTGGGTCTACGCTTTGCGTTTCTTCAAGGCTTCGCTGTACCTTCAATCAGCAAACCCTTCAGATATACACGCTCTTGAGAACCTACGGGCCATCACCACCCTCGCTCTTCAAAGGGGCGACATAATTATTTTTGTAGTAGCCTCCCTCCTGGAAGGCCTCAGTCTCTTGAAAAACATGAAGGATGACGCAATCGTCAGAATACAAGGATGCATTGCTCAATCGCAGAAATATCAGCTGGACCCTTCGACCCACGTCCCTCAAGTCGATATTCTAGCGCTGATGTTGGATTTCGCTTGCAGTCTGCACCAGAAATCTCCCCAGATGATTACTCAGAAGTTGAAGGTTCTGCAAGCACGTATGGACTCCACTATACAGGACAACAGTTGGAGTATGAGCGAAACCGAGGTTCTCCTCCCTATCAAGAAGCAGACAAGCAACATGCAAGTCATCAGCCATGATACGAGTGCAGTCATTCGCCTTGGAGGTGAGAATGAGAGTTGCGATTACCTTGCCATGTCATTCTGGACAAAGATAGAGGCTTTCGTCATGACGTAAGTGTGTTCAGGATACGACGTTTGATCAGTTGTGCTCACCTCCTTTCAGGTATACCTATAGCGGCTTAGGGCTACTATATTCGAATCCTCGGAATGATAAAAGGATTTTTGAGCTCTGGGACGAAGCTCTGGTGTCACTTGCGAAAAGTAAGCACAGTTGTCTCTACGTCTCGTTTGAACTGCTCTAACACCGTGTAGATGCGCATAAGATGCGGACAAATCCAACGTCTCTGCAGGACGCCATGAGAAGCGCAGATTGGCGGAGAGAGCTGAAGTGCTATCTCCAAATTCTACGCGGTCTACATTTAGCGACACATAGCCGTTGGCCAGAAGTCTGGAAGTGCGTCGAAGAACTGGAGAGCATTGTCAAGCCCCCCTTGGAGGGTGTTGTTGGTCTCTTCTCCTGTTATCTTTCTGGCGTATATCACCAAGGCACCGGGGAACTACACAGAGCCAAATCTATCTACGAAGGCCCTATACTCAGGCTCGAAGATAGTTTGGACGGAAACGGCAGTCTGCAGGGCGGATCAAGCAAACAAGCCCACACTGAGCTTGAAGTGCGGCTTCTTACGGCCTTCAATCGCATCTGGATTATGCAACACCCAGAGCACCGTGACGACCGACAAACAAACGAGCTGATTGATCTTCTTCGCCCGCTTTGTACCGACCATCCTAATCTTGAAATTCGCACAGCCTGGAATCTAGTGCTGGCCGCTACTCAGACCAACCCCCCGATCGGCATATCAGCCGCGAAAACTCATTTGGGTTCGGCATTGAATGGGGCCAAGTCTCTAGGCGATGTCCAGACTTTGTCCATCGCGCTGAATCTCATGCGCGCTAAGCTGTTCCACAACATCGTCGGCGATCAGGCCCTTAAGAGTGCTAGAGCTGGCGCCGGCCAGGCCCGCAAGGCAGGAAATAAGCTGTGGATGAGCGTTGCTGATGGGATGCTCGCAGAGAGCTTCGACGTTCAGGGGCAGATGGCAGAAGCTCAAGCCAGTCGAAATGCAGCGATCGCTTTCGCCGCTGAGGCTTTTGGCCCAAAACCGTCGTGATGGACATTCCGTGTCCCTCAACGAATACTTGTTCTCCTTTCAAGCCTGGCGTGCGGGAGCAAATTCGCGGACCAGGGATCAAGGAAGAATGGCGTTAGTGGTGAAGTCGGTGAATCATCTGAAGGCTAGATTAACTAAAGGGGTTCGTCGACGTCTTGTCTATGCTACCTGTACAGTATTTGCTGGAATGCAAGGGATCTTGTGATGACGGAAATGAAGATTTGGCCAATATACCCCTTGGCTGCGTGCCAATGCATGAGGTCATGGATGAATGGACTTGTATCTGGTAGGACATTTGCTTTGCCATAGTCGGTTTGCACAATGAAATTATTGCAATGGCCATTGAGTACTTGTTCCGCAGACACGGACTGCACCTGGCAATGTTGAGAGAGCGCCATTGCAATCAAGCTGGCCTGTGGTAGAATAAACACCGCGGTAACTTTCGAATTGCCTTGAAAAGCAGGTGCACACATAATTGACTGGAACAAGAAACTACTCAGCCATTCTTGATATTGTTCTCAACGTGGAAAGGAAAATAGGCTATCGTAACCATGGAAGCACTTGGGAGGACTGTAGCTAGACGGCTCGTTGAAAACTCCTATAGTGTACACTGTCTAAATTCCTCAACGAAGCTTCGATTTAATACGCCTTAGATGGTAGGGTGCACTTTTCATCATTGAACTGTCAGTGTCTCACGTAATACAGTCGTGAACTGCGAGTATATTTACCAACTCACGTTACATACTATCGTGGTAGAAAAGTGCGCTATAGAGAAGCTTTAACGCTGGTATGGTTACACAATCTACCCCTGAATAGCGAAACATGCGCAATTACCACCAGAATATTGCTATACCGTATGAATTGATTACTAGCCAGCGAGAGCTAGCTTTGCAGTGAAAGGGGCGCGTTCTGGTGACGACTTAATCTGTGGTGTTTGTTACCCACGGGTGAGGCTGAAGTCTAGTCATCCTCCAAGATCCGTCAACAAACCAGCTTCAGCACTGCCTTGTCAGCATTATGGGTCTCGCAACATCCTTACAATCCACCTGTAAGTCAGAGTATGAATGAGAAGCAGTCACCGAGATCATGCTCATGCTAACCGCTTTGCATTCTCCGGCCGTCGCTCCACGCGTAGCACTCAATCACAACGGGCCACAAAGTCGCATCCCGCGCTGTCTCTCGCGGTTGCTTCCTACTCCGCCACCCCCAAAACACTGAGGAGAGCAGGTCTAGTCCTATTTTTGGCTACATCAGTCGGTGTAAATTTAGATACAGCAGTTCCTATGCAGACAAGTCTCTGGGGATTGCTGACGTGAACACACATCGCGAACCAGAATCGTGAAATCTGGGATAACGCAGCGGCTCCTCCCGCGGGATGCTGATCACACACGGGCATAAGCGCGTTAGGCACAGCTATCTGAAAGAAAGAGGAGGCCGATGAGTTGTATAGGTCCACTAGATAGTATCGAGAGACAATCGGTCCCGAGGGGACATCTATATTTGGTTGGGGGAAGACAACTGCTTTGCGTGACCCAAATTGGGGCGCTTCTCGTGCTCGAGCTCGAAAAGGGGTTATGTTCGCTCACGGGATATCAACAGCTTCGTGCTGCCATTGGGTCTCAGCTTTTGCGGGCGAGTCAAAGCGCTGGGGGGTTGGTGCCTTGTCGCAATCGATGCCGCCCTCGTCCTGCAGGCTTCCTCAGCACTCCCAGATGCCGTCACGAGTGGGAAACTGCGAGCAATGCTGGTCTCATGTGCCGCCAATAGCAGCCAAACTGACCGGTTTACCGGGGATCACAGCCTCGATGAAGTTGCAGCTGCTGGGTACCATCGTCGATATTACGCCGAGCGGTGCTTGTCATGCTGCAACAAGACATCTGACTTGATACGCTCCTGTGGACAGCTACTTGCACGTTCTGACTTGCAGCGGCGTCAATGCACGATCCTGAGGACCCAAAACCTACATACATAGAAGGATGAATGCGGTCTGCACCTCAGTCGAATAGGCTGCGAGAGCGGCGGTAGGGAAGGGAGATCGTCGTGCTGTACAGTCCTTTTCGCGAGGCATTGTGATTATCGAGAGGTTTAGGCTGATCTGGAGGCTCTCAAGGCGCTACATCTACCGCGTGGACTCCTTTCCTGGATTCAGATCTCGTAGAAGAAGCAACTATCTAGTTTCGTAGCTGTGTATGGTGTTCTTACCCAACATGTTTCGAGGTTGAGGATGTTGGCAACACTTCCGAATTCCCAGATTTCGGAACACATCTATTGAGGCCCGACTCTTCCGTGTTCAGTAGCTCCTGGATGTTCTATGCAGTACGCTGAGTGACCCCGTGTTTCTTCGGACGTCATTCATGCCCGTCAATGCTCACTGAAGTCTCAGAGACTCTGCAGTGGACTTTTGGCGCAATGCATTGAGACGGCCGCTTTACGCAAATTACTGGCATCACTAGCAACTTCGAGCAACAAAGCATGATATTACAAAAGCGTTGGGGTCTGAAAATCTGAGTAGCTACTGCCTCACAAGCTGTCCGTCCTGTGATACATCGAATCGATCGATGTTGTCGTACTTTTGTCGGCAATACTCTCACGTAGCACAGCATAAGGGACTCCCTTTGGACCAAACATATTCGACAATAATCACTGTAGCTATTGAAGCCATTGGACCCTGCGAGAAGGACCCGACCGAAGCCTTCCAGAACTCGCATCGTGCTTCGAGTGCTGCCCCAGTCTGCCAGGCTCGAGTTGACCAGGGCCGGCATCGAAGGATTCAAAGGAGCCACCCCTTGAGGGGCAGCCAGATCCAATTAGCACATGGCAGACCAGGTTTCTCTCCTACAGCTGCCGCATGTGTACCCAAGCGGTGACATCCTCCCCCCCAGAACATGTACAGACGGTGAAGCTCAACAGCCTTATTGTGGAAGCCTGTTGGATGAGCACGAAGGGGCACGCTCCGACCCCGACCAAAGGAGTCAGTCTTGCGCCTCCGCAGGGGCGTAACCGACATAAAAGGAGTGTAGCATGATGCCGAGCTCAGAAGAGAACGACGGCTTCATAACCGCAATTCCCCGGGGAGACTTGCCTCTCGTACGAATGCAAGAGGCTCGTCAGCTGCAGCACCCTTTCTGGCTATCGGGATTTGGTTTCCCTCGTGGCTCTTGCCTGTGGCTTCTGCATGCGAGCGATCCTTCAGGATCCCCCCGCAGCGGCAGGGCCTTGGTCGTTCCCAGCCCCATCTGATAGGTAGAATTCATACGGGACAGCATCGTTTCCTGGGATGTCCCAACGGTTTGGGCCTGGTGGGATAACTTAGCAAACACTGGGAACATTGCCCGGTTGGGATACTGCATCACGATACTCCTCACGATACTCCCTGCCACCCATCTTCGAGGTGGAAGGCGGTGGGTGGTCCCCGAGACTTCTAATGGGCCAATCCACGTAATATCAGGTCGCCGAGCCTGACGACAAGTACAATGGGTTTTGGCTGTTCATCCCACAGGAGCCATAGAAGAGCTACGTGCCGTCCTGCTCCAGGTTGTTTGAGGCTTCAAACAAAAGATCGTATTGTATTACAGCAGCAAGGATTCAACATGCAAGCGAGCAAGAGTCGTCTGCAGCAATGTAATGGAGCCACGACAATGGTCGCCGGTTACAAATGTACACACAACAGGTGCCACACCAGGAAAAGCAAGGAAGAGTAGTATACACAAGGTCAATGGACGCTCGATAGTCGGCATCCAGTAGGGATCTGCGAGCATGGCCCTGGCTCGCATTCCCTACCAAAGGGTGTGATGGGTGCAGCTATCGTCATCGCTAGATATGGAGGGGGGCAGCCGGTACTGTGGAAAGTGTAACCTAGTCTTACATCCGCTCTGTCGGTTACGGTATCACTGGACACTGAAGTATACCCATGTGGCAGCAACCAAGTGCCAGGCATCCATAGGGCAGGCGCTCATGGTGGGGTGGACGTAGTTCCGTATGGAGGATGTTGACTTAGGGCGATGTAGGGACCAGCCAGGGAGCCGTTCCAAAGGATGATAAGCATCGGGTGATGGTGATACAGTATGGATGCATGTCGAGTGCTTCAGGTGCAGCGTTTCTACCTCTCCTTAAACTTGCGGGACATAGTGCGCTGGCAGGGTCACGAATAATTCCCTCAATCAGAGAGCGCCATAGCATCCCAGCAAGCCTTCTCCGCACCCAGCAAAACCAAATTGATGATCCCCTTCTTAGTGGCCAACTTATGATGCCGTACTAGTACCAGTTGAAGAGGAACCCGGCCAGATGAGCGAACCTGTTACTGGCGTGATCTGCTGTCAGGGTTCTTGTCGGGCTAAGAATAGGAACAGCGTGGTGACTACACACTATTACCAAGTCCAGTGCGGGACACATCAGCCGAAGCGAGTCCCTAATGTGATGTGACGCTGCTAGGGTCCTGCCCGTACCTTAATTTTGCACGACCGGGGAATTTCATATCATGGGAAACCCATCGAGCCAACTGCCATCTGATAGCGTTGGAGCCTCAACGGCGTCGAACGAGGATTCGGACGGAAAGCAACACGTTACACAAGGAATTGTGTAGCCACGCCGTCAGCACGAGGTTGAGGCTGCTCGCGCATGCCTGCTGATCGTTGCTTACCTGCAGGCTGGCTCCCCAAGCAGCACGTGGTGGCCGGACCGAAATGTGACGTTGACAAAGAGCAGGATTCCTGGTTGATGGGGGTGGTACTGGGAGATGGATGGATGCTCGACCCTAAGACTTGATGCTGACTCGAATCGGGGTTCCGGCACTTTCACTAGCGAGCCTACGCTGTATCTCAGCATTTGGAATACCAAGAGTGGAGGCCAACTCCTCGGGACCGAGGCACTGCGCTAACATCGCTATGAGCCTAGTCTAGCGATAATATTACTGGAACCAGACGGCGGCTCAGCGGCTCTGGGAGGATTTCATTGCGGCGGCTCGGCGATGGACTGGACTGGACAAATGTAACTCGTACAGG